TCTTAAGCTGCAAGGCAGCGCCATCTCTTCGCATTGTAGGTAACCCACAATGTCAAATGAATACTTTTACAAGTATTGAACATTTGAAAGAAGAAATAGTAATTATAGTTATATTTTTTTTATTTTGTCCGCAGTTTAGCACAGAAAAATGAGTACTTGCTAGAGATTTAGTGCTACTAGAAAATTATTGTATTTGTATTTTTAAGTATTTACTGCTAAAATTATAAATCTATAGAAAATATTACTAGGAAAATTTACACGCGGTTCAGGCATCAGGCGGGATTCGAACGTTATGCTCCTTGGGCAAGAGATGATTGTCTTTGCTTTTTGTTTTTGTTTAGTATTAATATTATTATATTGATAACTTCTCGTATTTTGTATGTAAAGTGATTGTCTTGTGTCTCCGTCCGTTGATGTCCAAATTAGGTCCCTCCAGAATATCAGCGTTGCAGCGGCAATCCATTTTTGCCGTTGCAACATTACGCTGAGGTGGGGCCTAGTTAATGATGTACCTTTTGTTTTATATTTGATGTGTACTTATTGTAATCGCTAATGTATGTCGCCAATAAATGTTTTTCTTTCTTTCTTAATACAAAACATGATAATTTTCTAAATGATAATTAATTATGCAAATTGTTATATTTTTTTTGCCAAATCTTAGCTTTTTATATAGTCTTCTTCTATAATTTAGTGCATAAAGACTTTTTCAACTCATTGTATTCATCAGCTGTTGAAATCTGTTTTATGATTACAAAAGAGATTTGCGCGAAAAGATTCTGTTAATATTCGATTCTTTCATTGACAATAGGTGGGTCTTGCATTATTATTATAAAATCAGCTAAAAAAGAATATTTTAGGGTAGGTAATGGATATTCGGGCAAACAATGAAAGCTTTCAGGGGCCGGAAATCCGGGTATTATTTCGCCCAGGACCAGATGAAATATTAGAGCAAAGCCCGTAAACAATTTCAACGAATTTCATTATTATGTAAATCGTAAAATGTTTTGAATATTTGCGGGCATACCTCATCTATATTATTGCTTTTTGTGAAACTAGCTAATGCCTGCGACTTCACGCGTGTTAACTTTAGAATGGTCTGTTATATATTAGTATATAGACACTATATAAAGTAGATATTTATTATTATTTTGCGTATATCAGTAAAAAAAGAAAACATGCATTCTGTTTTTTAGATATGCCGCGGAAACGTTTCTCAAGCAATTATGGCGTCTTACAGGCAGGTGACGTCACACAGCTCTCATAAAAACGTTAAGCGGAACAAAGTAATGTCGATTCAACAGCACGTTTACAAGCAGCACTAGCACTAACTAACACAGCAGTATTAGCACTAACCAGGAATCGACCGGAGGTTTCATGATAAAAGTCTGTTTTAATAATGCAAAGAATGAACTGTACCTATATGTATTTCAAACTACATCCAAATCAGGTTAGCGCAATAAGCGTTTTTGCTTACTTAAATGATTCGTCTGATAAGTTTTTGTCAACTTGATATTGAAGATGATATTTAAATAATTAAATAATTTTTGAATATCCAGTAAGCCTAACAGATAATTTGCATTAAAGTATTGCTTAAAATTTTCATATATCAGACGGTCAATTACAAAGAGAGTAACTACATATATTATGTTTCAACATTTTAATTCTACACGATACTTAACATTCTGGACCCTTGTCAACGTCTGTGGTTGCTAGAATGTTTATATTTACAATGTTTTTTAATTGAAAAGTTATACTGTTCAAATTCTTTTTAACACCTTGTGCGAAAAAAAATTGTCAAATCTTTTAGAAGTTCCTAAAAGATTTTATGTAGCGTGTGATGAATTTTGTGATTAGTGACGTGCCTAAAAGATTTTGTCGCGGGCCATTCAGGGCACGCGTGTCATTGGTTTGCAATGCTTGACCTAGAGGATGGCTGCTTACTGTCATTTGGACCACATTATATCTATTTGCTACTCTTTTATTCACAAAAGTGGAGGATTACCAAGGAGAGCTTATACTTCACCCGAAACATGATAGCGCAGTACTGGTAGTGTGCATTGCGGAAGTTATCAAAATCAAAAGAATCGAAATCAATATATCTTCATTTAAATTGGATGTATAGCATTTTTATTTTTCCTTCCGCTCGTTATTAGACATATTTTTAGCAGCTGAGAAAAACGAGCAAAAAATCTCCACAACATTTAAAGATAATCTTAAGTTATAAAGTCAATACAATCATGCTTTATTTCATATAGAAAACCTGTTGGAATGATTGGAACAGTTGTAACCCAAGCATTTTGGTAATAAACTTTTTATACACAGTCAGGTCATAAGTATTGTCACACAGTAAAAACTTTTCTTTTAGAATGCTGGCCACAAAAAAGTTTATTGAATTCGAATTTCGAATTGTTCATGAAAATAAAAATGAATACTTTTTAGAATTTTACTCATTTTTAAATATGGAGTGGACGCTTAAAGAAGACCGTGTTGCAGTTATTGCGTTGCATCGTTGCGGTTACGCGCCAATTCAAATTATTGACATACTGAAAATTTTGTATATCACCAAAAGATTCGTTTATCGTATCATCAAACGATACAATGAAGACTCTAGTGTAGATGACAGGTCAAGAAGTGTTCGCCTTCGGTCTGTTAGGACTCCAGCAGTGATAAAAGCTGTGAAGGCGCGAATTCAAAGAAATCCCAAACGTAAGCAGAAACTGTTGGCCCTTCAGATGGGGTTAAGCAGAATCACGGTGAAAAGGGTGTTAAATGAAGACTTAGGGCTTCGGGCATATCGAAAAAAAACAGGACATCGTTTGAATGCTCGTCTAATGGACCTGAGACTGAAGAGATGCCGCGCTTTGTTGAAGCGGTACGCGGGGAAAAAATATCGGGAAATTCTTTTTTCGGATGAAAAATTTTTTACCGTAGAAGAGAGCTACAACAAACAAAATTATAAGGTGTACGCACACAGTAGTGAAGAAGCGAGCAACCGTACCTATTCCACGTTTCCAACGAGGTCATTTTCCATCCTCGCTCATGGTATGGTTGGGAGTTTCTTATTGGGGCTTAACAGAGGACATTTTTGTGAGAAAGGTGTAAAAACGAATGCAGTTGTGTATCAAAATACAGTCCTGACAAACCTTGTGGAACCTGTTTCTCATACCATGTTTAATAACAGGCACTGGGTATTCCAACTGGACTGGCTGGCGGCGCGTGAAATCGACTTTATCCGGCACGAAGACAGGCCCTCCTCCAGTCCAGATTTGAGTCCGTTAGATTATAAGATATGGCAACACTTGGAGGAAAAGGCGTGCTCAAAGCCTCATCCCAATTTGAAGTCACTCAAGACATCCTTGATTAAGGCAGCCGCCGATATTGACATGGACTTCGTTCGTGCTGCGATAGACGACTGGCCGCGCAGATTGAAGGCCAGTATTCAAATTCACGGAGGTCATTTTGAATAAACTTTATTGTCATAAGAATCTATGTTTTGTTAAGTTCATTTTGGTATATAAATGGTTACATAATGAATAAACTTGTTTCAATTATTTTATATTAAACATGTGACAGAATTTATGACCTGACTAGGTATTTATTTTGTATTTTATATTATTCAACTGTAAGTCGACGAAAGAATGACCAAAGCTTATCTATGTTTCGCAACGCAAGACATGTCAAGACAATCGGCATCTGTCATCTGGCAAGTCATCATGCATTCATTAAAGCACCCACCGTGCTATACTTCCACGTAGTAAATTATAGACCGTTCTCCCTATGGTAAATTCTATGTGTTCGGAAGATCATTTCCATAGCAAGGACATTAACTGACAAATGATGATGAGCTTTTACTAAAGAACACTAAAATTTTATTGAACTCTCAATTGCAAAAAATCCCTTCGCGTAATGCGCCAATCGCCCGCCATTTTTATGTAGTTAAGGTGCGTTCACACGTTCCGATAACGAGTTCAATGTCCGTTTGATCGTAATGTGTTGCAAACGATAGACTTTATCTTGTAACGCGAGTACGAGGTAGATTTCAACACACACACTTCAAGCAATAAAAGAAAAGTTGCCTATAAGGTGGAATCTCAATGACGTTGAGATGCAGCACTCACTAGATTAAGAATTATATGTGTCTATGTATTTCTGTAACATAGAGCATTGATAGATAAGACTATGGAACCGAACCGGGAAGTGGTCTTAGAACTATGTCGCCAGCCCATTTTATTTGAGCTCGTTTGAATGGTCCTGACATGGACTTTGATCTTAACTACATATATCCCAAGTCTGGTGTTGTGAAGATAGATAGATAGATTGTTTATTTCTATCTACTACTAATTTGTGCGCTGTACATCAGCGCACAAATTCGCGTAGTAGACAGATGGTAGTAAGTAGTAGGGGTGCCCAAGCGGGGATTTTGAGAAAGAAAATATATTAAAATAATGTAATAGGTTCTGTTAGGAATACTAGTTTGGGATGAGTAAGGAAACGTTATGAGATGTCATAGGATGGATACGGAAAATAAATTCCTTGGGAGGGTTTTACTCGAGCGCGGCGGAATAACATAAGGCAGGCAACGTTGTACCCTTTAGTAGCGCCTATTCAAGACCGAAGATTTGGTGTGAACAAAATTAAAGGCGGACGTAATTAGGTACGGTGGGAGTACATACTTCGCAACGTGCAAGTTTGCCCCCTAATTTTATTTAGCCGCGCTCGATTAAATCCCAAAATCTCTGCTTCGACTCCCCTACTATAGCATCAATTAATATGATACTGTGTTCTGTAACGGCCTTACTTAGCGATACCTTTCAGTAAAGTTCTAAGACTCACCAGGTTGATAGTGACAATGAGTTCGTACTGCTGATGCCCCTTCTTCTTGCTTTGAGGAGTCTTGGGAGGCGCTGCCTTTGTGACTCCTTTCTGAGCCGAATACTTGACCGCAACACAAGAAAAATGCGAAACTTAGCGATACCTTTTAGAAAAGCTCTAAGACTCACCAAGTTGATAGTGACAATGAGTTCGTACTGTTGATGCTTGTGCCCCTTCTTCTTCTTGCCTTGAGGAGTCTTGACTGCCGCTGCCGCTGCCGCCGCCGCCTTGGGAGGCGCCGTCTTTGCTGCCCCTTTCTGTGCTGAAGGCTTGACTGGTGTTTTTGGACCACCTGCAACGGGAAAATGTTTATACTGGTGCTAGATGTCGACAATAACAATTGTGGGTTAGACGGCATTCGAACCCGCACCTTCCGCTATCCGGGCCTGGATAGCCTGGTCTATAGATTAATAAATCTAGCAGATAAAAATTATTCCAAAAAATTACGTATAAATACGTAGGCGGGTTAAACCTTTGCCAGATTTTTGCATTTTTAAATGGCACAAATAGTCCCCGCCCCAACTTCCCTTGGCAACAGCCGCCAATAGGGTGCACTAAAGTAGTCTCTTTCCCTCTCATTCATAAAGCAGATTACATCTCGCTCTTTAGTCTCTATGTGTCAACGGTGTCAGCAACTGTCAAAATAAATTAGGTAATCACTAAATATTTTTCCAGTGTAGCTGCGATGAGAGAACGTGCCTGACTGAATGCAAGTCGGTCAATTACCTGACTTTCGTATTGCCAAATTAGAAGCGTGTCTTCTTATCTTTAACTTTAAAACATCATAGATAAAATAAAATGCAAAAGAAAATATGGCTCACAGTTTGTCCCATCCTACAGATATTTTGTGTAGTTATACTGAAATGTCTTCGCGTCTGGACTTTACCACCACTTTACATAAGGTGGGGAAGAGTCATTTGCCTTTAAGTCGCGGCACGAAGCTTAAGCGATGATCGTTATTACGCAAGTAAAAATTAAGATGTCTTGGGGGGAAGCGAGGTGCGCGGGTGGGCGTGCGTTGCGCCGATTGGCTCTCCAGTCGTACTCATGCGCAGCTATCCCCTCCGCGTTTTTACAGTGCTAGAATTTTTTTAAGAAACCATGGTTACATTACCTTTTTGACAGGCTGGCGTTGCTTTCTGTCCTGCTGCATTCTTCTGGTTGACATGACCACCTCCATCGGCTGGTTTGTTTCGGGCCTGCAAACAAACATTCTAAATTAAACAGATGTTGTTTCTCTTACATATTTCATATCTTTTGATATCGCTTATCTGGGAGGATGCTAAAACATTTGGATAAACTTTATTCAGGTAATACTATGAATCTCAAGTCTCTTTATCCTACTAATATTACAAAGAGTTTTTTTTGTCTATGTTAAAAGGGTAAACAACGGTATGACCCGCCTGTTGGTAAGCTGCCACCATAGTCTATAGACATATGAGATCCTGGGTTCTTAAAATATAATAAAAAAACAAAACACATAAATATGACCAATACATATAAGTAATATAACATTACCTACATATAGATACATACATAGGATATCGGCCAGGTATAACAAACGAAAAAGTTCACTCTGACAAAGGTTCTGTACAAATATTTCGAGGGTACGAGTAGAATGTATCATCTATCGTGTGCTCACATCCGTTCGGGAAGGAAGCCCATACGTCACCGATGACATGCCCCCGCTTGTTGGGTGAGACAGGTTATAATGCCCGCCCACAACGTTTAAAAACTTCGGTATCATCTATTTCATTTTTTGACATGAAAGCCATTGAAAATTACTCACCCTTTTTTTCAAGAAAGTAAGTCAGAAATAATTTATTGACCAAGTACATTGAAAAAAAAAGAAATAAAAGCATAGGTAAATTAAAACAAAAAAGAAGGTCAACTAGGTCCCTGCCTCAGCACAATGCCACAACGACACCAAGGCCGCTGCGGCGGTGATATTCTAGCAGGGCCTAAGGTTGACGTGAACAAAAGTAGTTATATAAATCACACATTCACAAGCTAAAATACCAAAAAAGAAAAAGAAAAAAGGAAAGGCTGAGTAATTTTTTCTCTTTGCCATAAAGTAAGTATAATCGTAACAATAAATTTTATAAAAAAAAATATACGAGCTGCAACAAATTAACCCACTCCACTTCATGTTAAGTGTAAGTGGAGTCCCGTCGCTAAGATAGATGATGCGGCAGAAGGTGTGCTGCTCCAGCCATCTTCACCTTGCCGGCCTGAACCCAATACCCCGCGGAGCCCTCGAACCCTATAGTATAAGTTATTTACGGGATTGTTACCATGTACCTTGTTTTTAGCTAGTATCAGATATTTCGGCACTATTGCAAGCGCCATGATCACGGAATAACTGAAGTAATTGCGGGGAGGCTGTTATTGGCAGACTCACGGTCTACACTCCGACGAAGTCTTTTATTGCGTTCTTCGTTTTTCGTCGGAGGGTAGACCGATATGTCTGCCAATAACAGCCTACCCGCAATTACTTCAGTTACACCGTGATCATGGCGCTTGCAACAGTGCCGAAATATCGGAAATTCGCTAAAAACATGGTATATGGTAACAATCCCATAAATAACTTATATTAGTATAATGTTAGTGACCTCGAACCCTACTACCAGCAGAAATACAACACCACCAAAAGGCAGTGTATTTTACTGTGATCTTCTGTAAGGTGGCTTCCCCAGACGTGCGCTCCAACTCAAGCGGGAAATCCGATGAGCCCTACCCCTCTTAAACTGCTTAGATAGGAGGTACAGTGCTGCTGATTTTCGGCTCAAATTAACATGCCAAGAATGTGTTTCATATTTGGTTTTCTATGAACAAAAGACCACAGTAAAATATTTCATGAAATGCAATGAAAAGTCATTTATTCAGTCTAGGCTGTTACAAGCACTTGTGAAGGTCAAGAAGCTACGCCATCGGTTCGCAAGACTACGGCGGGAGACCTTGTCCTGTGAAGAACCGGCAAGAAACTCAGCAAAGGCTGCTTTTTTCTCCCTGTATTGATATATACAGAGTCGTCAAGTTGAAAAATGACTTCAGACATACTTCTGAAGTCATCACTTTAGTAGTGTTGTATTTTGGTGATTTTCCAGTTTGTCCAGAACCCAAGCCAACTAGTAGTACGTATAGTTAGCATCAGGCGAGGTAATTTGCTGCACCAGTAAAAATAAGTAAACCTTTAATTTTACGTTCAAAATTGAGGGGGAATTCCGCTTAGCTATACCTCTCTTAAGCCAAAAGTAACGTCGGTGGACCTTTAGAAAAGTGAGAACATCATCATGAGTCTATTAATTCTGTAAAATAAAATCTCACTTCCGATTTCGGTAGCTGCCATTTAAGAAAATGTCGCTAGAGTCTGTGCGGAAAGAGAATGGGCTTTAGATTGGAGGGCGCTGTAGTGCTTTTCTACCGTATTTGTACGGTTTTACCCCTTTTAGACATGATTAAATACAAAAAACCGCAAGAAATCACAACAACAAACAAATCCGTATCAATACCAAACTTTACAGATTGCTGGGTTTGATGAATGACGTTTTACAGATTGCTGGGTTTGATTGCCAAATAAAAATCTTAATGTTAGTTCCGTTTTTCTCCACGCCCATTCTCTTTCCGTACAGACTCTATGTATGTAGAAGCAGCCAGTATTTGATATTTGACATTTGTCAGAAATCAGAATAGATAAGAGATCGTAAGTGAAATTGCAACATACAGAATACCTATGTGAATGTAATGAAATATTGAAAAGTGTAAAAAAAGATGGTGTAGTTTAAAGAAACCACGATGCAAGTGAAACCTTTAAAGTGTTTCACATCGCCTCAATTTCTTTTTGTGGCTTATCATCATCAGTCTATTAATGTCCCCACTGTTGGGGCACAGGCCTTCCCTATGGATGGAATAGGGAGAAATTTGCTTATCTCCAACGATCTCCGAACGTCAACGAGCTCCTCGTGACTTAAAAATAGTGAAAAATAAAGAAAAAACTTTTCTCGGCTGTGATTCGAACCCAGACTCGCGTAGGAGGCCTAACTTTCTACCACTGAACCACCAACGCAAATTGAAAAAACTCGAATTTTTCAATAACAATAAATTTATAAATGGCATTACATTAAAATTTATAATTGCTAAAGATGAACGAAAAGTTTTATTTAATTATAAGTAGATACTTATGGGTAGGTAGTTGAAAATATCCAATAACACTGGGAAATGTTAGAATGGAACCAATAAAAAATATTTTCGCAGTCCATAAAATTACGAAGATGGATTATTTCGTTCTCATCTCATTAGTCATGAGACTGGCAATAATAGGAGGGAGAGAAATATCCCCAGTAACAAGAGTGATAATCCCTCCCCTCATCCCTTCCTACCTTTTGAAGACGGCAGCCATTTGTTATTGGAATAAAACGATATCCGAAGACCCGTAACAATTTCGTTCGCCTATCGATTTCAAAATAAGGTAATCAGGTATACTATATCTCAACAGAATAAGCAATAAGCTTCCAAATATATATATATATATATATATTTGTTTCTTAGGTTTTCACGCACATTTATATTTAAATATATATATGTGGAATATGATTTTGTAATGGTGTCATGTAGCACCTGGTTTTGTATCCTTGTGTACACTTCAACGGCCAAGTCACACAACATTAACTAATAAAGAAATCGCAGTAAAGGACCTTAGACTTGGCACGGTTTTGTCTAGATTTCATTACTTTTTAGAGATAAACAAGCAGCTCCATCGAGACTTTGCTAGTTTTTTACAGAATGTATTTGGTGGGATTACACTTAGTCGTTTAACCGAATTCCATGGGCAATCGTATTCGGGCTAGCGACCAATTGTAATTGGGCCATAAGGTCCCGGTGGTGTAGTGGTCGATGCATTCACTCGGAGAGCCGATTCCTTTCTAGTCTGTGTTGAGGTTTTTTGTTATTTTTCTTATACAAGGGTCAGTAAATTACTTCACGCCACCTGATGATAGATGTTAGTGGAATCCGCCAAGATAGCCGTTGCGGCAGAAAAATCTGCCAGTCCAAATGTTCGAGTTACAAAAATGGACGAAGGAAAAAATATTTTTAAACAATGTCACTTGACATGGGTGAGGATATCGGGTCCATATATATGTGGTTTTTCTTCGCGAAAATTCTGTAAGTATTGAATTCAGAAACGGTGAGTACTATAGGATTTTCTTTTACTTTTTCATTAGTATAAAATAGTATTAATCACACTAAGGAAGTGGTTCAAAAACAATACATAAAATGATTATTTCTCGTCTATGTTACAGTCATCCCTCTGTTACAGGCCTTTTTTCATTCTTCTAGCTTTACCCAGAAATCGAAAAAGGGTTATTCTTATTCTCTTAGGAAGCAAAGAATGTTCGACCTATACCTTATTCCAAAAAAAATTAAGACATGTATTCAACACGAATGTAAGAAAAAAACTATACAAAAATTATGTTTTTTTAAAGCATTTAACTGCTAAACAATATTTTTTCAAAGGTTTAATATTTGTAAAAGTGTTCATTTGACATTGTGGGTTACCTACAATGCAAAGAGATGGCGCTGCCTTGCAGCCTAAGACTAGGAAAAATTCGACACGGCCGTCAGGGCCGCAGTAGCATAATGGTCAGTGCATGTCAGAGTTCCATCTGCTGCCTGGTCCGCGTGAAATTTTTTCTAGTAAACTTTTCATTAGATTCATACAAAAATTACTTAGAAAAGTATTAAAACAGGATCTAACTTTCTTGTAGTAAGATCTTTAACTTTTATTTTTATTTATTTATGGACGACCAACAAGATATACACCAATACAAGATAACAAGATACAAGCATCGGCGATAATTAGATGCTATCTTAATTAAAGGTCACCACCGCATGCATTACAAAACAAGGCATTGAACATTATTCAGCATAATCTTAAGTGAAATCAATAAAAAATCAATAATATAAATAAACCGCACAATACAAATAAATATTACTTAATTTAAAAATAAGAATACCTATGTCCTGTCTTGAAATTATGGCAATCTAAAATAATCAAAATGATGACAGCAATATTATCATATCACAAAATTACAAAATATTTTTATAGAAATACAATTACAACATTACAAAACGTGGACACGAGAACCGAAGATTCAGGAAGATTTGACAGACATTAAAGATATGTGATAGGTGTAATAACACGGTCCAGTGGCGGTACTAAATGTTCGTGACCGTTTACAAAAAGAAGCGGTTGCCGTGGATTTTTCTAAC